GTTTGCTTTGTTCACTATTGTACCTCCAGCAGCAAGAAAAGTACAGGGCCCACAGTATATATGTCATTCAAATGACAGAACAAACAAATTCTTTAAGTTAGTTACATTTTACCTCTATTTCTTCATGAAGCCTCACTAAAAGTATAGCAAAAAGCAGTTAAAAGTTATAAATTTACAGAATCAATATAGAAATCCATGATTATAAAGCATGAGTAATTCCTAGTAGTAACATTAAAGGCCAAAGTTTACGAATTATTTTTTAAAGAAATATTATATCGCTATTTCTTGATCCTGCCAAGCACACTCCACCTCACAATCTTTCTTCTTGCTGTTCCCTCTCCTATGCCACTTTCCCCCAGATATGTCTACAAAACTTACTGGCCACTTTCTTTAGTTCCCTGCTCAACTCATTAAGGCCTTCCCTGACCACTTCAGTGATAGACATACCGAGTGTGCGATTATTATGAACAAAAACCTTCCTCCATATTTCAATCTTTTGCTAGACCTACTCAAGTAAAATTTTTCTGTCTTAAAACTTTTAAAAGGAGCGTGTGGGTCTCTTCCCTCTGCAGCCATCGTAGGAGCGCCAGCGGTCAAAATGAAGTTCAACCCCTTTGTGACGTCTGACCGGAGCAAGAACCGTAAAAGGCATTTCAATGCACCTTCCCACATTTGAAGGAAGATCACGTTGTCTCACAAAACAAATTTAAAAACACAGGCAACATAAAAGAACAATCTCAGGCGGCCATCGTAGGAGCGCCAGAGGTCAAAATGAAGTTCAACCCCTTTGTGACTTCTGACCGGAGCAAGAACCGTAAAAGGCATTTCAATGCACCTTCCCACATTCGAAGGAAGATCATGTCTCCTCTTTCCAAAGAGCTGAGTCAGAAGAACCATGTTCGGTCCATGCCCATCCGAAAGGATGACGAGGTTCAGGTTGTTCGAGGACATTACAAAGGGCAGCAAATTGGCAAAGTAGTCCAGGTTTACAGGAAGAAATACGTCATCTACACTGAACGAGTGCAACGGGAGAAAGCTAATGGGACAACTGCTCACGTGGGCATTCACCCCAGCAAGGGGTTATCACTAGAGTAAAGCTGGACAAAGACCAAAAAAGATCCTTGAACGTAAAGCCAAATCTCGCCAAGTAGGAAAGGAAAAGGAAAATACAAGGAAGAAACAATTGAGAAGATGCAGGAATAAAGTAATATTATATACAACTTTCATTAAAAACTTAAAATGAAAAAAAAATTTTTTTAAGATATATATGATATTTAAATGAGGAATATATACCTGTAGCTGTTGAAGATCATCTTCCTGAATGTTCTGAGACAAGTTATAAATCTAGAAAATAAACATCCAAATTGATACTTTAGCTAATTTCAAACAAACTCAAATAACCCTAAAGCACTGCTTTGTACATTTAAAAGTCAGCATATAAAAATATGAAGTCTGTTCAAACAATAGCACCTGTCCTTTGAAAAACTATCTCTTATATGGTTGAAATAACATAATTCTTCCTTTACAGTTTAAAATACAGTCTTCTTACGTTATTAACAAATCTACATTTCCTATATGATGTCATTTCAATTTCCACTTTCAGACTCTTATTAGAGACTTTTATATAAATTTATGATCAAAGTAGAAAAATAGTCTAGGGTCCTTCTTAAGCCTCTAAGAGGTTAACTGGTATCTGTGGTCTATAAAGAACATTTATTTATGCATCGCCGTAGAAATTCTGATAACAAAACAAAAACTAAAACTAGATGTAACCCCTTCATCTTATTTCCTCTACAAATGTGTTTTCCTAGTCGAGTGGTTTTACCTGAACAGAACTAGTCATGGTGCTTAGAGCAAAGATGGTAGCACAATCTTTCACAGTGGACTGGCTGTCAAACGCCCCCTGGGTATCCATCAAAACAACTGCAACCTAAAAAAAAGGAAAATACAAACAAAATATGTTAAAGTGAGAAGGGGGAAATGTTCAGGAGAACTTGAGAAATACAGGTAACATTTAAATGAGGCTTAAGCGGCTTTTTATAGGTTTTATCAGAAAAGTAATTATTTAGGTGCCTTGTTTTGAGCAGAGAACCTGCAACCTGGGCATTCCGGCTCAGTTGGCTGGAGCGACACCCCGTGCACCAGAAGGTCATAGGTTCTATTCCCGGTCAGGGCACATGCCAGGTTGCCGGCTTGATCCCAGTTGGGGTGCATATGTGAGGCAACCAATCCATGTATCTCTCTCACATCAATGTTTCTCTCTCTCTCTTTCTCTTTCTCTCTCTCTCTCTCTCTTTCTCTCTCTCTCCCCACCCCCCACTCTAAAATCAATAAAAGAAAAAATGAGAAGAGATTTTTTAAAAAGATCTAAAGAACTTCTAGAGATGAAAATTATGCCTGAAATGACAATATATGAATGGGGTTAACAGATTATTAGGATTGGTGAGTTTAAAGACCTACCAAAAGAAACCATCAAAAAGGAAACAGAGCCCTAGCCAGTTCTGCTCGGTGGGCAGAGCACTGGCCCTCAGGCTGAAGGCTTCCAGATTCAATTCCAATCAAGGACACATACCTTGGTTGCAGGCTCAATCCCCAGCCCTAGTCGGGAGGCAACCAATCTATGTGTCTCTCTCACATCAATGATTCTCTCTGTGTGTCTCTCCCCCTCCCTTCCACTCTCTCTCTAAAAAAAAAAAAAAAATCAATGGAAAAATATCTTCAGGGGAGGATTAACCAAAAAAAAAAGGAAACAGAAAAATAAGAATTAAAATAAAAACAAGCCATGAGACAACTTCAAGCAGCCTGACATATATGTAATGTAAGTCCCCAAAGGATATGAGGCAAAATTGTATTTGAAAAAATGACTGCAGAAAATGTCCGATTTTGATAAAAATTATAAACCTGCAGATTCAAGAAGCTCAACATGGTCCAAATACAAGAAACATGAAGAGAACTACGCTAAGACACATTATAATCCAATTGCTAAAAGAAAATAATAGAGAAAAACCTTAAAAGCAGGCAGACAAAAAAGACGTTAGGCACCTGAGGGTAACAGCAGGATTTCTCGTCAGAAACAATGGCAAAAAGTCAGGGGAGTGACATCTTCAAACACTGAAAGAAAAACCTATCAGCCTAGACTTCTATACCCAGCATATATATTTTTTAAAACAAAGACTTTTCAGAAACATGAAAGTTAAAAGATTTCAGCACCTGCAAAGCACTATAAGAAATGTTAAAGGAAGTCCCTTCAGAAGAAAAAAAGTGGACAAGAAAATGGAAATATGGACACACAGAAAATGAAGAGCACAGTTAATGCTAACTACATGGGTAACTATATGACTTTTTTTTAAAAAATATATTTTATTGATTTTTTACAGAGAGGTAGGGAGAGAGATAGAGAGTTAGAAACATCGATGAGAGAGAAACATCGATTAGCTGCCTCCTGCACACTCCCCACTGGGGATGTGCCCGCAACCCAGGTACATGCCCTTGACCAGAATCGACCCTGGGCCCTTTCAGTCCGCAGGCCGATGCTCTATCCACTGAGCCAAACCGGTTTCGGCACTATATGACTTGTTATTATTTAAATACCTTTAAAAGATAACTAACCATTAAAATTAAAATAAAAACAATATTAAAGTAAAATATGTGACAATAGCACAAAAGCTACGAAGGGAGGAATGAAATGTCAATTATAATTCAATAAAACTGTTAAAAGAATTAAAAGGTTGGATAAAATAATATCTAAAGTTCCTTCTATAAAAAAGTTACTGTTATATTTCAATGTTATAACTCTTCATTCTCCTAGATTATCTTTCTTTACAAAATGTGATAAGGTCATTGTACTACACATTTTTTTGTATGTGTATCTATACATTTAAAAAAAAGGGGGGGGGGTCCCAATATATCTTTCTCCTGAAACCTTCACTCAAATAGAGAAATAAAATAATAAGAAAATGCATAGGAAAAGGAATAGAAAATATAAAAACAGCAATCAAGAGCTGTGCATCAGCTCTTCAGCCCCCAAAATAATGAATGACTTAGCATTTAGGAAAAGGCTACAACTAAACAACCTGAAGAGGGGATTTGGAACCTTAAATCCCAAAAAGACTCAAAAATGAGAGAAATGAGCAGCTGTGAAGACGTGCTTTAGGAAGGGATGGGTTAAAGGTTGTTTAAAAAAAACAGTGGTACTTCCCAAGCCCCGCTTCCACTTTAAGACACACATGACTTGCCCCTCCTGACCCTGACACATAAATTTGGGGATAGGTTCTACAATTGTAGCTTACTATTATTTTTAATCCTCACCCGAGGATATTTTTCCTTTGATTTTTAGAGAGAGTAGAAGACAAAGAGAAAGACAGAGAGAAATATCAATGTGAGAGAAACACATCAATTGGTTGCCTCCTACATGCGCGTTGACCAGGGCCCGGGTCGGGGAGGAGCCTGCAACTGAAGTATGTGCCCTTGGCCGGAATTGAACCCGGGACCCTTCGGTCTGCAGGCCCAAGCTCTATCCACTCAGCCAAACCGGCTAGGGCTGTAGCTTACTATTTTTTGTGAGAAGCCTTATATTATTATTTGACCTTCTAAACTATATTCATGGGTTGTGTTTAAACCATAAACATATCATTCTAATAAAAATTATTTTTAACTGGATTACTAGTATCAAAATATGCATTAAAGTTCTTATTTTGTTGTTTTATTATGTAAGCCTTTTTCTTCCTTACCTTCTTCCCATCTGGCTTTTCCACAGTGAAAACTTCATTCCAGATCTGAATCCCATTAGTGTCTGGGTCAGAACCCCCTCTCCATGAAAATCCTGTTAACGGTTCTTCTGAATCACCTAACCAATTTGAATGGCCACCTTCTTTCTACAGGAGAAATAAGACATTTCCATTAAACCTAAAAGTTTGAGTACTTTTAAACAGCAAGAGTAACACATGAACTTATTTTGCTCTTTCGAATATAAATTCTCCTTTTCTGATTTGAAATGAAGCAATTCTATCTTACCTGGAAATACAAGTACCGGAGCAAAAAGTCCAGAAGGAAAGACTTGCCCTTTCGGAAGGCTCCAGCCACTGACACCACCACCACATCAAGGTCTCGAATGTGGTCCTGCAGGAGGATGCTGGCCAAGGCTTTCTCTTCTAACTCAAAGGAATGCTGGTCTTTCTGAACCAAAACAACTTGCACTGGGCCAGGCTTTCCACTCTCCATGGCATCACCTATGTTGTTACAGAGAAAAAAAATAGTTTCAACATATTCTTAAATATGTATTTTTGAACAGGGGAAAAAGCAAGAATTTAAGGTATAAAAACACTAATCATAAAAAGAAAAAATGACAAATTAGACTTCATTAAAATCAAGAATTTTTGTTCATTAAGAGATACCATTAAGAGTAAAAATGCAAACCACGGGACAGGAGAAAAATATCACAATACCTATATCCAAAGAGCTCATACCCAGAATCAATATAGAAATCCATAAGAAAAAGACAAATATACCAGCCCTGGTATATTTGGTTCAGCACCAGTAGTTTCCCTACCAGAGTTGAAAGCAAAAAAAATTTCCATTCCTGGAAATTCAAAGCTACCTAATAGCTATGGATATGGGGAAAGTTTACAAAAAAGTAGCAGTGGGGCCCTAACTGGTTTGGCTCAGTGGACAGAGCATCGGCCTGCGGACTGAAGGGTCCCAGGTTTGATTCTAGTCAAGGACATGTACCTTGGTTGCAGGCACATCCCCAGTAGGGAGTGTGCAGGAGGCAGCTGATCGATGTTTCTCTCCCATCGAAGTTTCTAACTCTCTATCCCTCTCCCTTGTTCTCTGTAAAATATCAATAAAATATGTATTTTTAAAAAAAGTAGCAGTGTGGCTCAGGACTGAAGCAAAGCACTATTTCCCTAAGTGAGAGTCTATCCCACTGATATTAAGAGATGTTTTAGGCAGTTAAAAGGATATTTTATTTTAATAATTATGCATTTTAATGTATATTAGGAAACAAAACCACGTTTTAATGGATCATGGCTTAGAAGGAGGCTAAGTTTAAAGAATGAATCCATTTAAAGTAAACTGAAGGACAAACATAAAGTAAAGCATACACAGGTAGGAAGATATGGTCAAAACTCGTAAGAGTGGTCCCCAAATTACTTTGCTCTGGGAAGGACAAAAGGCTGCATGATCATAGCAGCCAAAGTCAACAACGCCTGACTGCCAGAGTCTACCTACCCTTTAAGCTACGGAACTGCTGCTCACTTTTTATACTTTATCACATAACAACAAAAGGGTGCTTGGCACTTTTTAATTTTTTTTTTCTTTATTGATTTCAGAGAGGAAGGGAGAGGGAGAGGGGATCATTGATCGGCTGCCTCCTGCAGGCCCCCTACTGGGGATCGAGCCCACAACCCGGGCATGTGCCCTTGGCCAGAATCGAACCTAGGACCCTTCAGTCCTCAGGCCAACGCTCTATCCACTGAGCCAAACCGGCTAGGGCACTTTTTAGTTTACAAACTATTAGAAAACAAATACATATTAAGTGTCATGCTATTGTTGTAATAAATGTATACCAATACTTTTCTTTACTATTATTGGTGATAAGGAAAAATTTCTGTGGATAATCTCTTAGGGTTCTTCTTATTGCCATAACAGCAGGTGAATCCAGGACTTAAAAACCTTCAGTGTTTCATATAAAAGAGCCCATGAGAACAATTTATTTAGACCTTATGGATAAACCGCTCAAAGCAGTACCAAAGTCTCTGAGATATCTGGTTGCTCACCCAATGTTTTCCCTCCTGCTAGGTAATAGATTTTTAGCTGGGCATATTAACTGCCCAAAAGAAACACATTTCTAAACCAACCCTGCAGCTAGGGTGTCATTGTGTGACTAAATTCTGACTGGAAATGATATAGCAACTTCCAGGTCACGCATTTTCCCCCTTCCTGCTGGCTAGATGGAGAAGTGAGAGTGAGTCATCCTGGACCAGGCACATGAGGGCAACACCCTAGGAATATTGGAGCAACAAGAGAGGAAGGACCTAGGACTTCATGTAATAGAACTGCCATGCTGGCTCACTTTTATGTGAAAGAAAAGTTAAAGTGTACCTTGCTTGCCCTAGCTGGTTTGGCTCTGTGGATAGAGCATTAGCCTGCGGACTGACGGTTCGATTACGGTCAGGGGCACATGCCCAGGTTGCAGGCTCGATCCCCAGTGTGGGGTGTGCAGGAGGCAGCCAATCGATGATTCTCTCTCATCATTGATGTTTCTCTCTCTCTCTCCCTTTCCCTTCCTCTCTGAAATCAATAAATATATATATATATTTTTTTTTTTAAGTGTACCTTGCTTAAATCACTTATCTGGAGGTTCAATCACATATGGCCAAACCTAGAAACCAATACAGCAGTCACGCAGGACTTCACAATTAAGTTCATGATACTTTCAATTTCATCTACTTCACTATTGAAGTTTACTGAGCAATGTGAATGTCCTGGTATACAGCAGGCACACAATAAACAATCGTAAGAAAGAATGAATATGTGCTGTAATACAGTTGAAAGCTGCAACCCTAAGGATGCAGGTGGTGCCGTTGGGGCAAGGGGCATGGAAGATAAGGACACATGGGCTGCAGACGGGATAGAATAATCCAATGACAAAAATGTATGCAGTTGGGCACACTGAGTTGCATTTCAAGAGAAGGTGGAGACCACTGAGAAGTTTTTTTTTGTTTTGTTTTTTAAAGGTGACAAAGCCTTCACTCATGTCTTCCTCTCTGCCTAGAGCAGTGAAAAGGAAGAGAAGCAGGCTATGTTAGTGGGGTGATCCTGCACTTCTCTTCAAACAGTATGGTGGGCACACCGGGTTTAAACAGATCTTGTTCTTCTGGCTTGAACTGTAACCAAAATTCAATGTAAGCAAACAGAGCTGCTCACTTTCCACCACACCGTCTTTCCCCTTGACTTTCTAGGACAGTGATGGCGAACCTGTGACACGCGAACTCATTTTTTTGGTTGATTTTTCTTTGTTAAATGGCATTTAAATATATAAAATATCAAAAATATAAATCTTTGTTTTACTATAGTTGCAAATATCAAAAAATGTCTATATGTGACACGGCACCAGAGTTAAGTTAGGGTTTTTCAAAATGCTGACACGCCGAGCTCAAAAGGTTCGCCATCCCTGTTCTAGGACAATGGGACTGTATTACTCATCTGCCAAGTAAAAACTTTACTTCTACTCATCTCTTTCCAGACGTCATGTGAATGTCCTGACTTATCCTCATAGCTCAGACTCCCCGATGCCTTAGAACCCTTAATCCAAATTTTAGGGCCCATTCCCTTAGGCTAAGCCATCTTCCAACATTTCTTGCCTATAAGGTTGATCATCCAAGTCACCATATATACCACAAGTGTTTCTTTTTTTTTTTTGCCTTTTAATTGCTTTTATTAATCAAAAAAGCTTCATTTTTAAACTTATTTAGCTTTCTGACTCTGCTTGCGCCTTCAATACTTTGACAACAATCTCCTGCTCCTCAGTAAGGAAGGCACGCTTGGTCCTGTCCTGGACACATTGAGCACACGTGGCCCCACCACGGGCCCTCCTGACAAGTCTTTTCATTGGAGACAACCTCATGAGAACTGGAGGCCTCACAGCATGAAATCCTCTAAGTCGGCCTGGGCACGCGCCACCTGGAGATTCTGGTGCTTTCCCAACCTTCCTGGTATAAAGGTAAGCAATTCTATTGCCAGGGGCTTGGGGCAGCCTCGTTTTGTTAGAGGCTGTATTGCAGGACAGCCTCTGACAGCACATCCAACACTGGACCATGGGAAATGCCTGAAGTCACCATCCCCGGGAGAGGGGCCCGGTGTTTCTTTGATGATGTTGCCTCAGTCCCTTAGGGCTGAACTCCTCCATTAGAGTACATGAACATATCCTGACAGCAACTACATAAAGGCTACCACAAACATCTTATGGACAACTTGAAGCTAAAACCCCACCCCTCCACTGCCTTAGTTCCTCTAACTTATTCTCCTCATTCTCCCAGGCAAATGTATTCTTGTTGGTCCTGCTACTGGGAGAGCGTTAGGATTCAGGTACTATCCTACCCTAAACCTCCAGTGTTCAACCTACTCAACCATTTGTTCTCACCGCCTAAAATGCTTCTCCCCCCTTCACGCCCCACAAACACACCTGTTCATCTGTTCATCCTTCAACACTCACCTGCACCCTCCCTTTGTCCTGATCTCCCCAGCCTACCCTCAGAGGACCATCACCTAGGTATATGGGAGACTAAAGAGAAAACAGGCTCTGGACAAGGCAGGGCTTAAATCCTTACTTTCTCCCACCGAGAATGTAAGCTCCGGGAGGGTAGGAATTTTTGTCTCTTGCGCAGGGCTGTATTCCCCAATATCCTGGAACAGTGTCCACACATAATGGACAGCCAATAAATATTTGTGGAATAAACAAATAAACTCCACCACTTAGTCACGTGTGACTATGGATAAATTTCTAGCCACTTAAAGCTCCGTTTATTTATAAATCTAATACCCACCTCAAAGCCCAGTGTTTGACAAATTTCAGGGACTTAATAAAGTAGACCCACTCTCCTATTTCCACTAAAACCTTGTACATAGCTATTCTACTCATCACAATGATTATACTGTACTTCTGATTCACAACCCAGGCTGGGAACCCCTGAGGAGCAGAGTAACTAGGAGGCACTCAGCCTCAGTGCCTAACTCTGGCAGGGTAATAGTTCCCTAGTGTTGTGAACACTAAAGCCATAGTAAACCTCAATAAAGATCCTTTCTTCCCTTCCCCGTCCCAGTCTTTCTTTCATTGTCAAACGCCTTGAAGGTATGTCGTCATCTGCATATGGAACCATTCCCCTGGGCGCCTTGTACCTGTTTTCCTCTCAACCTCTCCAGTTTACTGAAGACCTCTCTGGCCAAATCTGACAGCCTTTCTTGATTCTCATTCAATCCTCTCTCTGTGACAAAACACAGCAGCTCCCGCTTCTAAAGCTTCTTCAAATCTAAGCAGTCAGTGACAGGGTACATTCCTAATTCCCTTCGAACCTCTGTATCATCTTTCCCTTCTTTCCAGCCTCCTATGACATACACCAAGGCTCTGCTTCAATCCTTTTGGAAGTTCTCACTCACTCCCTCGGTGCGCTGTGTATCATTTCACTACACCCTCTATGTTGGTGATACCACTTCGTTAACTTCTAACCTGCATTCGGGTC